AGATGCTGCACCTGGGGATGCTACAGAAGGAGAGAGAGAGCATCTTGGAGATGTAAAGCACTAGATAAGTACTGAATGCAATTATTAAAGCTGTTTGGAAAATGGGCTTTTTTACATATAAAATTTCATTCAAAAAAATAGGTCATTTACATCAAAATTTTCAGTGGAAAATTCCTAGTTTTCTTCAAAAAAGTGAAAATTTCTGTTTTCAGGCTCTTTTTCCCCTGTGTTCAGCTTTCCCATCAAACATCAACAAATTTTGAAGCAAGCTGGTGCTACCTGGCAAGTTTTATACTAAAAAAAAAAAAAAAAGATTCCACTGGTGAAAAGTTTGATCAGAAAATGTCCAACGAGCCCATGTTACTTTTGTGGCACTTCCCTCTAAGCCAGTGGTTCCCAAACTGGGGTTCGTGAACCAAATGTTACAGGGGGTTCTCGGGAAAAAATTCCCTAATGGCGGACAGAGCTCGTCCTAGGTACCCTGGACAGCACGGGGTCAGCAGCCTGGAGCCCCTGGACTTCTAAGAGCTAAGCAGATCAAAGCAAGCATATCTATCATACTGAGGAGATTAAAACTTCAAGACTCCTTATAAGACATGGAAAGGGAGGTGGATGTTTTTTGTTGTTTTTAAAATTAAATAGGCAGGTAGTATTGTTTTTAAAATTATTATGAAGAACAAGTTTAAGCTTTGTTGTAACATGCGTTGTTTGCCTGGCCTACTCAAGAACTGAATGCTTATGTAGGAGGAACTCTTTGAGTTGGCTTCTTAAATACCTTCATGCTGTTTCAATTCTGATATTCCTTGATGAAACATAGGAGCCTTGTCTCATAACACGCTTATTCAAAGTGAATCAAGCTACGGAAGTGAGATCTTGGAAGAGTGTTGCTGTTTTCATAATGTAATAAAAATAATAATTATAAATAATAATTAATAATAAATAGTGTGTAATAAGCATGTCATAAAAACAAATTTTATATTTCCAAGATCACTGCTTTTATAATTTATACTCAGGTAAAGGAGAAAATCCCTGGAAATATTCATTTTTAGGAGGGGGTTCACGAGACTTGACATTTTAGTGAAAGGGGTTCACAGGTTGTTAAAGTTTGGGAACCACTGCTCTAAGCAAACAGGAAAAGGAAGGGTCTCATTTCATTCAGTAGTGCCCCTAGAGGCCAAAGGGCAGTGTTGGTGGGCTCCTATGGGAACCCCCATATGTTCTGAGCCAGAAGGGATGGTGATTAGGGTTGGGGAAAGGCATATGAAGGACACTGAAGCAGATAAGGGAAGGGAACAGGACTTTGGAGTCCTGCAGTAAAACAGGGCAGAGAAGGAAGGAGGAGCCTGAGTGAGTCAGGACAGAATTCAAAGTCTGATGCTAATAAAACACCTTTTGCATGAGCCTGTGAGAATTTCCTGGTGGGGCTTGGAGTCACGCACTGCTGGACAGAGGAGAGCAGCTGCGTTGATAGAGTAAGTGCGTCGGCAAACAGTCTCCTTGGGTGACCGTTAAAATTGGAGGTGGGTGGTCATACTGGGAAAGGAGGCCATGAGGATGCCCTGAAATCCTTTCTGGATCCTTGTAGGAAAATGAGGTCAGAATTCAAAGAGCAGCAGATCGAATTACCTGACAAGTGGGAGAAAGAGGAGAGGGGAGAAAGTTGTGGCTCAAACAGCATGCTCCTGTGACAGCAAGTGGCACCTGCCACACCAAGAAAATGTTCATACGAAAGGGTGGAGTAGTGACAGAACTTGCTTGCATTCACCTAAAGCTTTTCATGAGTCAGCTACTCTCCACTACATGGCTCTAGCCAGTGAGTAAAAGAGTCAGGGCTCAGAGGTCGGACTGGTGTTGATATCGTCTGTGACGTCTCCTGACTAACAGCTCGATCTGGGGTGAGCATTTGGTGCTGCCAAAGGTCGGTGCCTCTAGCTCTCTTGAAAACATAGACACAAGTGGTGTCACCCCCACCTTCCCACCCCCACAACATCCCCAAGCAAAGGAACAAAGTACTCTGGTCCGGCCAGTAAAAGGGAAACAGAAATGGGACAGGCTGGCGAGAATACAATCTCTGGGAAGGAAGAGACAGTCCTGACAAATTAGAGGATTAGACAGTCCTAGACAAATTAGAGCCAAATTAGACAGTTCTAGACTAATTAGAGGATTTACCTAGACAAATTAGAGGATTGGGCCAAAAAAAACCTGATGAGGTTCAACAAGGACAAGTGCAGAGTCCTGCACTTAGGACGGAAGAATCCCATGCACTGCTACAGAC